GCTCCCTGCTGAAGCTGGAGACATTTTTTTTATGTTTCTGGGCAGCGATGGAAGAATGAGCACACACGCTCTCTGGTGGACTTTTCTTTACTTCAGCAGATCAAGTTGTAGTCTCTGGGGTCCATCCTGCTGGCAGACGCATGACGAGTGAGTTTCTACCTGATGGGGTGCAGCAGAGGAGAAGACGCAAGAGGTAGCAACAGCGAAGATCAGTGCCTCGTCACTGTGGCACCCACTCTAGCTACAGTAAAAAAAAAAAATTAAAAAAAGTTACCCACTCTAGCTACGACTCGTCCCGATACCACACATTTGAGTGTGCACACCCTCACTCTGCTTGTCTTGGAGACTCATCACTCATGGTGCCAGCTACATAGAAACTGTGGTCGGCGGACGAGAAGTCTGGCTGGAGGTCAGGAACTCTACTTGTGGGGGTTGCTCCTGTGCAGTTTGTGTGCTCGGACACCTTGGATGGAAATCATCAAGGTGGCTGAAGGTGGTGATGACCAGGACTCTCCCTCAATGGGAATCAGCTGACCGACCCACACTCCCTTCCTGCTAACTGGCTGTGTGATTCCCGGCTACACACTGCAAATATCCTGCAATATGTTTGATGTTATTTTATGTTTTTCTATCTTACTTGAGTAGGCTCAGTGGTTTAGATATATATTGCAATTTATCTACAGTTCTGTGTTTCAGCATGTTTCTTTCTCTCTCTGCTCCACTTCCATAGAGCTGTGTAGTTCTTATTTACAAAAAGTGCAGTATTCTCGACATTTCATGATATGTCTATACCTATCACTGACATGTATACCTCTTGCAAAATGTCTATGTGCTATGCCATGCACTACAAAAATAAAGAATGTAAAAAAATATGTAAAAAAAACATTTTTGTATACATACACCTGAAAAAATGGAATTAGATACTTAATACAAATTAGGGATTGGTTTCTCACAGGAGAACCTACTACTGATACCCAAAATACTATAGGCAAAATATAATGAGATACAGCCAACCTTTAAAGGAACAAACTATAGCATAGTACTGTTTAGGTAATGTTCCCCAAATAGATTTGTTATATTGCTCTCACAAAACACATAGTGGAACAGGCATTGTAAATAACTCTCAGATCTTTTCATGCTTAAAAAATACCTTTTCTGGTCAAAACGTTGCTGGACACTTGAGTCCAATAAATTTGCCTATTTATACGTTGGAGTGCCTGAACCTTTCTTTTACGTTTTTATCTTGCAAATTCATCCCTTTTACTTCTTAAGGCATTAATTGGAGCCAGTGCAATCTTTAGATTTCTCAATTTCGTAAAGATGATAGAAGGATTCATGGTGGTTCGTTGACTAATGTTGAATCTTCTAAAAGAATGTTCCAATGTTTTCTAAAAATGTTCTTTGCATGTTGGCCATTGAATTGTGTAATAAAAACTACTATTATTTCTTGTATTATTCTTCATAAATTCCTCCCTATCTCTTTTATGATTTTCTCTACTGGGTTGCTGTCATATTTTTTCTCAACTAATTTTCTCTGTACTATTTTAGATTGTTCCTTGAAGTCATAAATCTTTGAAAAGTTTCTTGAACATAGTCATTACTATTAGTTGGCTTAAAATCACATTTAGACGGAATGTTTCCACCTTCAACATATAATGTTAAAGCTAATTTTGTGTATTTTGACAATCTGATGGCATAACACAGCCATGATGAGAAATGGAGATTATAATTATTGGAATCCAGATAAGCTGTTGTGCTCTTCTTTCCAAAGCACCACCATAAGCTCTCCATCATGGGAGATCTGACCTTAAATAGTGACCATAGCACCAGGCTAAACCATTTTTGATCAGTTTAACACTGAGTGAAGGCCCTCCCCCATTTGGGTTCGGCTAAGGCAGAGGTTACACACTTCTTTCTAGTCATAATGATTCACACTTGAATGGGTGCTGTGATAGGCTGAAAGCAGTTAGCTGACACTCTTATCCAATCAAAGCTGCCCATTGATTCTCAGACTAATGCTTCCTCATTAGCCGGAGAAGCACAAATGGGAAAGGCCGCAGAGGGCTCTCTCGTATAGCATTAAAACATTACTAGGGGTTTAACAATAAATGGAGGATGGAAAACTCCAGCTAATATAACCACGTTAATGATATGAAGCTGTTACAGTGCCTACAGTGTCCCTTTTAATCTAAATTATTTAATTAATCAACTGAGAGAAAACATGCAAGAGGTATACAAGACCCCAGGGAAGAGGAGATTGTGTTGTGTCATATATAACAAAAAAAGCATTAGAACAAAAGAAAGAATCCTGTGAATGTATGGTTATATTGGATTAGGTAAAGAAAATAAAAGTCAAAGTTAAAAAAAGATAAAAAAATATATAAAATGCAGAAGAATGAAATGAAATGATCGTATTTGATCATTAATAAGATAAATCTTATTGAAGCTAAAATAATATTGGCTGCCACATAACCCAGCCATGGTAATAAGGAAGAAAAACAGCACATATGCTGCTGATATGGTACACTGCGTTCCCGGTTACTTAAAATCATCCCACAGAAATCTTAATGTGAGATTTGTGTAGCTCAGAAAACATCTAATGCGAGATGCAGGTTTTGTGAGTACATCCATAAATCTAACAAACATTGAGATTTATAAACAGAATTGTGCGTATTTCCTACAAACACTGTTACAGTACCTGTGTCATCTGTGGTCTTTGTCAACCTTAACTGATTTCCAAGAAATTACAAGTATAAAAAATTATCTAATATATACCTGAGTCAATCATATCTTTTAATTTGCCCATTTTTCCTAATTCCAACACATAAATCCAAGAACTGACTGTTCCCTTTCTGCTGAAAATATCCCACCCCTTAACAGGTGCCATTGTAATGATATAGGCAATCTTATTCACTTCACCTATCAGTGTTTTTTTATGGAGGCTGATTAGTGTAACCCCTGGCATTTTCTATATACCGGCGCTATCAAAGTCCTTTGCTGATCCTTGAAACAAAGGCCAACATTATTACCGGGCATCAGTGACTGGCTGTATTTGTTTTTCTAACTTTTGGTTGATATCTTGAAACAGTTATCAAAGTGATCAGAATCCAACCTTCAGAAATCTTTTTTTCAGACGGTGACGCCATGTCAGAAAATGTTAACATCAAAACAGAGCCTTAACCATAATGCCATCATTAATCTTGCTATGTCAAGCTAGAGAGGCCAATATCAAAAGGTTAATTAGAAAAAGAATTGGTGCCTTTGAGGATTTCTTGATTACATTGCAGGTAGGAGGTTACAAACAGCCAAATGCATTAATGATGTGAATAGGTGACAGGTGTGTCATTAACCTATCATGTTCCATATGGACATTGCAGAGCATCTGTGTTTTATTTCAGATGCTCCTAAACACACATTTTGAGAGTTGTGGACTTGTGCATTTATGTTACATGTGTTTTCTTCTGTATTAAACTGCAGTTACATTATTTATTTTTTCTTTAACAGGTGAAATTGATTAACAAGGAATTATTGTTTAGACATTGTTCACACACGTCATCTAGACATTATATCTAGACTGTGTTTTTGGTGTTCATTCTGTTCAAGCGCAAACACTTAGACACATTTTGGGGTATTGGTTAATTGTTAGGTTTTTCGAAGTCTTTTTGAAATTTGCAAATCCCTATTGTTTCAATGGTCCTGCTAAAATATCAAAATATGAATGTTTAATATCAGGTGTTTGATTTTCACCAGATACTAGTAAATGTGTTGAAAAATATTGAAACAGTGGGCTATTGATTGCCAACATTAATGTGTCATGTCAGCGTGCCTAGTTAATGGTGCTATCGAAGTTCTGTATTTGTCCTTGAAATACAGCGTCTATTTACTGGTCTCTGGTCATGTGCCAAACTTCTGTTTTCACAGAAAGGTTATATAAACCAGAGTCATTGCTTGGTTTGTTTATATTTGCCCTCTCTTCTTGGAGTTGGCACTTCTGTTTGATATCCTAATGTTGACCTTGTTTAGACTTGTTTCATGATGACTTTGGTAACATTTTACTAAGTTTCTTGCAACTTTTTCCTTAGTAACTGTCTTGAACAAAACGTGCCTGCTTGAACACAGCTTGCATGAGGCTATTGCTTTTGCAGCTGACTATATTTATTTCTTTGCGGCAATTGCTGCATGCACATTTCAGCTTCCCTATAGGACAGCATTAAATCAGTGCTTTCCAGTTGGGATTTTGAAGACATTGGATGTCCTTACGCAAAGCGCGAGGACGTCCAATGTTGTTTCACAGAGTTAAACTCCATTAGAATCCTATCTAGAAGGAAGCGCCTCTAGAGGTTGTCTTAACCTTGCAATGTAAACATTGCTGTTTCTCTACAATGCCGTTTCTCTACAATGTTTTACACTGCAAGGTTAAAGGGGACAGAAGCCCTGCACCCAGACAAATTCAATGAGATGAAGGGGTCTGAGTGCCTATAGTGTCCCTTTAACTTCCTAACTCAGTACAATGTATAAAATGCTTGTCCATCCAAGATACCTTTCTCAAACTAATCTCCTGCATTTGTATTTCCAAGCAGAGCATGCAAAGCACCTGTATAGACAGCTTCCTCTCCCTCTGTTATTTCCACTAATCCTGAAGCT